ACATATTGATGAAGGTAGAGCAGTGGATATGGTGTATATGGATTTTAACAAGGCATTCGATAAGGTTCCACATGGTAGGCTCATTCAGGAAGTAAGGAGGCATGGGATTCAGGGAAATTTGGCTGTCTGGATACAAAACTGGCTATCCAATAGAAGACAGAGGGTGGTAGTAGATGGAAAGCATTCAGCCTGGAGCTCGGTGACAAGTGGTGTTCCGCAGGGATCTGTTCTGGGACCTCTGCTCTTTGTGATCTTTATAAATGACTTCGATGAGGAAGTGGAAGGGTGGGTTAGTAAGTTTGCCGATGACACGAAGGTTGGTGGAGTTGTGGACAGCGTGGAGGGCTGTTGTAGGTTGCAACGGGACATTGACGGGATGCAGAGCTGGGCAAAGAAGTGGCAGATGGAATTCAACCCAGAAAAGTGTGAAGTGATTCATTTTGGAAGCTTGAATTTGAATGCAGAATACAGGGTTAATGGCAGGATTCTCGGCAGTGTGGAGGAACAGGGGGATCTTGGGGTCCACGTCCATAGATCCCTCAAAGTTGCTACCCAAGTTGATAGCGTTGTAAAGAAAGCGTATGGTGTGTTGGCTTTCAGTGGCAGGGGAATTGAGTTTAAGAGCCATGAGGTTATGCTGCAGCTCTATAAAACTCTGGTTAGACCACACTTGGAATACTGTGTTCAGTTCTGGCACCTCATTATAGGAAAGATGTGGAAGCTTTAGAAAGGGTGCAGAGGAGACTTTCCAGGATGCTGCCTGGACTGGAGGGCAGGTCTTATGAGGAAAGGTTGAGGGAGCTAGGGCTTTTTTCATTGGAGCGAAGAAGGATGAGAGGTGACTTGATAGAGGTTTACAAGATGATGAGAGGCATAGATAGAATGGATAGTCAGACCTTTTCCCAGGGCGGAAATGACTTTTACGAGGGGGCATAATTTTAAGGTGATTGGAGGAAGGTATAGGAGAGATGTCAGAGGTAGGTTCTTCACACAGAGAGTGGTGGGCATTTGGAATGCGCTGTCAGCAGTGGCAGTGGAGTCAGGTACTTTAGAGGCTTTTAAACAACTCTTGGATAGACATATGGAGGATAGCAAAATGTAGGGTATGCAGGGTAGATTGATCTTAGTCGGGTAATAGGTCGGCACAACATCGTAGGCCAAAACGCCTGTACTATTCTATGTTTACTTATAAATTGTGTCTGATACTATCTCTCTCACTAACACCAGAAGGACTGAGGCTCCAAAAGCTTGTGCTTTCAAATAAAGCTGTAGGACTATAACCTTGTGTCATGCAATTTCTGACTTTGTCGACTCCAGTCCAACATCGGCACCTCCATGTCAGGGCTGAGAAAAGATGGTAACACTCTCATTTGCACCTGTTCAAACCAAAAAGTTCATGAAGATGACAAAGAGTGCACAAGATAAAACCTGGTCATTCCTGCTGACAAAGATTCCTCAGACTGATGAGGGAAAAAGTTTCCCTCCATCAAAACAAAATTGGCCAGTGTACAATGCAGGAAATGTGCAAATTCCCTTTCAAGCAGTCACAAGTGCAGGGCGTGCACTCACAACCCATGCAATCACAGTATCTATGACATCACTACCAGCAAAGTTTCATACTTTAAGTTATTTCACGCAACAGTCTTGTTCCCTGAAATTAATTACAACATCATTGACCCAGAGGAGTCCACAGAAAAAGCCATTAGTGTTCCATTCCACAAGGCAGCAAGGGGGTGGCCAGTGGGACAATGATCTGAACGGAGAATGGAGGGCCAAGGAAGAGACAGTGAGTAAGAAAGAGCAACAATAACAGCATCACTTTAGATTCAGTTCCAACTTCCAGATCCTGTACAACGCAGGCACGTAATGATGATATCAATGACATCAACGTATTCAAATGCACTGGCAGGAGATACAGTGAATTTCTTCATATTCCTGCTTTCCATTCTTTCTACATATCATTCACTATGCAGGCAATAAGTTGGTAATAAACTTGCACCCTTTTGTTTAAATTTCTATCTAAAAATTATTCACAATGCCTCTGCCCATGTATTCATTACAACAGCACAATCTGCAACCTCATGGCCCAGTTACCCCCCAAACTCAATCATTACCATCAACCCAGGGGATCAACCCTGGTTCAGGAGAAGTATGGGGGGCATGCAAGGAGCAGCATTAGGCATCCCTGAAAGTGAGGTGCCAACCTGGTGAAGCCACGAAACAGGACTACTTGCACGGCAAACAGCATAGCAGCAAGTGACAGTCAGAGCTAAGTAATCCCACGAAATGATCAGATCTAAGCTCTGCAGTTTTGCCACATCCAGTTGTGAATCATTGTGGACAATTAAACAACTTGCTAGTACAGAAGATTTGTGCTCCAGAACTTGCTGCTCTCCTGGACAAGATCTTCCAGTATCTACCTGAAAATTGCCCAGGTACGTGCTGTACACAAAAAACAGGACAAATGCAACCCTGCCAGTTATTGCATCATCAGTCTACTCTCAATCATCAATAAAGTGATGGAAGGTATCACTAACAGTGCAATCAAGCAGCATCTGCTCAGCAATAACCTGCTCAGTGTCACCGAATTCAAGTTCTGCTAGGGCCACTCAGCTCCTGACCTCATTACAGCCTTGGTTCAAACATGGACAGAAGTGCTGAATTCCAGAGGTGAGATGAGAGTGACAGCCCTTTACATCGAGGTTGTATTCAACAGAGTGTGGCATCAAGTAGCCCTAGCAAAACTGGAATCAATGGGTGTCAGGGAACAAATGCTCCGCTAGTTACAGTCATATGTGGCACATAGGAAAATGGTCGTGGTAGTTGGAAGTCAGTCAACTCAGCTCCAGGACAACTCTGCAGGAGTTCCTCAGGATAGTGTCCTTGGCCCAATCATCCTCAGCTGCTTCATCAATGACTTTCCCTCCATTATATGGTTAGAAGTGAGAATGTTTGCTGATGACTGCACAATGTTCAGCACCATTTGCGACTCTTGAAGCAGTGAATATTCAAATGCAACAAGATTCAGTCTCTGGCTACAAATGGCAAGTAATATTCATGTTGCACAAATGCCAGACAATGACCATCACCAATAAGAGACAAACTAACCATCACCCTTTGAAATTCAGTGGTGGATTCACCATATAAATACAGTGGCTACAAGAGCAGGTCAGAGTCTAGGAATACTGCGGCAAGTAACTCACCTCCTAAATCCCTAAAGCCTGTCCACCATCTACAAGCACACATTAGGAGTGCGAGGAAATGCTCCCCACTTGCCTGGATGTGTTCATCTCCAACAAAGCTCAAGAAGTTTGACACATCCAGGACAAAGCAGCCCACTCCCACACCAACACTCAGTAGCAGCAGTTTGTACTATCGACAAGGTCCTTAGGCAGCACTTTCCAAATCCACGACCACTTCCATCTAGAAGGACAAAGGCAGCAGATACATGGGAACATAACCACCTGCAAGTTCCCCCCACCTCTCATCATTCGGACTTGAAAATATACAGCCATTCCTTTGCTGTTGCTGGGTCAAAATCCTGGAATTCCCTCTTCTCAAAGGCAAATGGGGATGGGCAATAAATGCTGATAACAGTTTTTACAAGTGAGTGTGGATAAGAAAGAATGTGGTACTATGTGGTGTTCAGGGTCTCCAAAAGGCAGTTGATATAAGTACCACATAACAGATCACTTAGAGACCACTCTGACCCATATAATTCTACACTTCATCCACAATTTTTTTTTCTTATTCATTCACGGGATGAGGCTAGGCTGGCAAGGCCAGCATTTATTGCCATCCCTAATTGCCCAAAGGGCAGTTATGAGTCAACCACATTGCTGTGGGTCTGGAGTCACATGTAGGCAAGAATGGCAGTTTCCTTCCGATAAGGACATTAGTGAACCAGATGGGTTTTTCCAACATTCGGCAATGGATTCACAGCCATCATTAGACCCTTAATTCCAGATATTTATTGAATTCAAATTCCACCATCTGCCATGGATCTACGGATTAACAGTCCAGCGGTTATACCACTAGGTCATTTCCTCCCCATTAGACAAGATTTACATAAGATTATCTTGTCCCCATCCAGAAACAGATCCAAGTTTCACTTGAAGAAATCCAGCAAATCAGCATCCACCATGCAAGGCATCAACCTGTCTCTGAGGACCACCTTTTCTTTATCAGCAACCTTGATTGGTCCATATGCAACTTAGAAGTATGAGCCATGGCTGCATCCCAAAGTATTTGAATGGTTGAATAGTCCATTTAAAAATTCCCTTAATGATCTGATATAACTCAATTAAATTATCCTTAAGTCTACACTTCTCTAAAATGTCCGGTTCCAGCTCTTAACATAGAAAATAGGAACTGCTGTAGGCCATGCATTGCTTCGATTCTGCTCCACCATTCCACATGATAATGGCTGATCATTCAACTCAGAACCCTGCTTTTTTCACACACCCTTTGATTCCTTTTGGCCTAACAAATATTTCTAACTCCTCGAAAACATTCAATGTTTTGGCCTCAATGACATTCTGTAGCAGAGTGGCTCGCGACTCTCTGGGAGAAGAAACTTCTTTTTTTCTCTTTTCATACATTTTGATAAGCAAGATGCTTCAAGTTGGGTATCCATCTCATGGCCCAATTATGTGCTCTTTCCAGAGCCTCAATATTAACTTCCACATGGGGAGACTAAAAGTGAACACAGGCTATAATGAGGTCTATCCAAGAACAGAATCATATTTTTAGTAGTAGAGTGACTTGTCCCAAAAATACACCAACCATTTTCTCTAGCTTCTGAACCTTTAGAAAACCATCCTTTAGGCTGCTCAAAGATCTATTTTTCATACTTTAATGCTTTTCTTTATGGGTTTTCTGAAGTTTATTCTAGCTAGATCAATAACATTGCATTTCACCAATTAAAACATGATTGCCTGTCATAGCTCCCAACTCATCAACATCCGCCTGAAGCAGCTGAGCACCTTGAGTCGTATTACCTTCCTGCACTGAATCCACATCTGGTTCTTCTTTGTGCCTCAACAGTTTTGAAAGTCGGTTCGATACAGTAGTGAAGAAACCACGCATAAAATCAATTCTCTGCTCAGCGTCTGAGTGGACTTGTCTCAAAGGTGGCTTCTCAATGTGCGAAGAGCAACCAGGTTCAGAAATCGATCTGTGATATGGGGCTGTTGTCAGTTTGGCATTTGCTTTCACCAACTGAGCAGGAGACTGTTCCAGAATATCATCTGATCCAGTGTATTTAAGATGAGGCTTAGCTGATTTTAGCTGATCCTGGTCTGAAGAACTGGTGTTATCCAAGTCAGAAAAAATCTGTCTGCTAGTGGTCCATGAAAAATTTGAGGCTGAGTGCCATTTATAAGCATTTGTTGGTTTCAAATGTTCTGAGTGGGCCCGCTTGTAAATTTTCCATTTTGGTTTTGAAGTTGTGCGCCACTGATAAGCATTCAGACTGTTGGGATTCCTAGCACTATGAGCTGAGTCTGAGAGAGATCTCCTGTATTCACCACGAGAGGAGGAAACTTGTTTTCTAAACACATTCATCTTTCAAATTTATACAGTTTGAGTCTAGGCTTCTCAAATTCAAATTAAAACAGTGCACTTAATATACAGCATTAAGCTAGAAAGTCACAGCTTGTATGAAACAGCTTCAAATTTCCGTGTGAAGATGCACAGACACGTCACAACCACTTCCTATCGAGCTGCTCCTGACGTTGTATTACAATTAGAAAGGAAGTTGACTTTGAACATTTCACAGACAACCACAGCTTTAGACCTAAATCGATACACCGAAAGTCTGCAGAACTAACAGGTGCTCATAAGAAACAGATTTCCCCTAAAATTCTCAGAGGCTTTACAGGCAACCAATGTGACAAAACTCTGAAGACAAGAACTAGCTATTTACACTAACTTGTCTTTTGAAAGAGTCTGGATAAGAGCCCAGGAAATACCAGTAGTAAACCAAGCAGGGTGACTATTACTTGGTTATACTAATCAGGAGAATTGTGGGCTAAATGTTCAGATTTAGTCATTCCCTAAATGAACTAAATTGCAATTTTCGCAAAACAAAAATAAGTTCTTTTCTTCAGCATGGATTTGAGTGACTAAAATTTTCTCAGTAACAACTCATGGGATAGGGAAGAGACATAATTTCATTGCAACTTCCTTCATTGACCAAACATATAGTCAGTTCTACCAGACCTAATGTAAACAAAAAATGAGTTTGCCCTTTCTCCATAAAATACATCAGATGTTCAAATTGCAAGGGATACTTCATGATTGTCTGGGACCCATTTCAAAAATCTAATTCCATCATGAAAACTCCACCGATGCAAATATCCAAATGTAATTGTTCAAAAGGTTTCTTTGATTACCTACACAAGCTAATAATACCACCAATTAATTAAAGCCAAATGGTTAGTGTGTTCTGAATTACCAGAGGACAAACTCCAGTGTAATCACTAGGCGTGAGGGGTGAATAAAAATTAAAGGATTGGGGAGGAGAGAAAACAAAGTTTCCCATAAAGGTCTGCAAAGTCTAATATCGCACCTTTACTCAAAATTAACACCATATGTAAAGAATGGCTACAAAATATTTCATAGCTACCTTTATAGAAGAAGAAAGAAAACAAGCAGTTTTCAAAAGATCGATTAAATGTGGCAAGTGGTTTTCTCATAAAAGTATTTGCTTGACAAATTAAGTTTTGTGAAAAAAAACTTAATTTAAGAAAAAATTGAGAGGAAACTAAGCTGCAGGAGTATTAAACATGGCAAGTTATCTTGACGCCTCACTTCCAGACTGCTCAAATTAAAAAGTACAGACAATGTTAAATCTGGCAAACAGTCACAGAAGCCAGAAGATGCGAAATTGAATTCTTACTCTGTTTTGACAAGCAGATTTGAGTTAAGCAAGAATAGCTGCATTGGAGATAACAAGGTGTTGAGCTGGATGAACACAGCAGGCCAAGCAGCATCAGAGGAGCAAGAAGGCTGATGTTTCGGGCCTAGACCCTTCTTCAGAAATAGCTGCATTGGAATTGTCCTCAGCAGTCTTTCGCTCAAAGTGAGGATGATAATAGGGTAAAGAGATCTATGATATTGTGCTTCATGTTACTCAGTAAAAGCTCCTGAAAGTTTAAAAGCACGAATAATAAAGAAGGATCAGACACAACTGTCATGTCATCCATGGTAAAATAATCTGTCACCACTCAGTCTGGACTCAAAGTCAAAAGTTGCTAGCCCATCTGGAACTGTCCGCCAGTAACCATAAACACGTCCATGAGCGAGGGCCAAAAGGGATAAGTTGATAGGATATTACATTTAGTCCTGGATTTCTTATTGTCATCATAACTGTGATGAAAAATCTGCAGAGACAAACAATTCAACTAAGTAAATCCTTTATGCCAAAGGAATTACAACTTTTCCTTCTTAGCGGATCCATGTTCAAGGCTTGTTCTCTTCTCACTTGTCATATCAATAGATATTTCTTCATCATACACATCCACTTCTCGTCAAATCTCAATGAAGATTGGTTTATGTTTTGCGAGTAGAAACAAGACATCTTGCAAAAGAACACAAACCTAGGTCAAAAACATTGAGTTCAACATTTTTCAAATCATAACATCTGTCCCCATTTTATTTTTGGAACAGTTCCAGAAATGCGGACTTGAGCACAAAGTCAAAGCCAACAGTCCAGTGCAGTATTTGGTAGAAATAAAATTGTTGGGAGATGCCATAATTCGATGCGATATTAAACCAAGTCACTCACTTGACGAATGAAAACTGTTCTGTGGACACTTTCTCAGAAGAAGGGAAGTTATCCTGAGTCTCCTAGCTCACGTGATCCCTTAAATCAACATTGCAGCAATAGATTTTCTGGTCACTATCAAATTTCTGTTCGTGAGAGCTTGCCCTAGATAAATTGGTTGTCAGATTTCCTAACTTATAATACTGACTACACCTCAAAATTATTTCAATGGCTGTTAAGTGCTTTGGGATGTCCTGTGGTCATACAAATATACATGTATGTTTGTTTTCTTCACTTCATTCAATTCAAAACATTTGTTTCAGCTCTTCATTCTTTTTTTATTCAATTGATTCAGTACTAAAAGCAGATTTTGCAGAAACAGTTCTTTTGGGACTGAATGAAAATCTACAAAGTACTCATTAAACTCTTCGAACCTCCATCCTCTTTACTTCTGTTGGCCACTTCTTACTGAGGTTTCTCAGTACAGATGCTGCCTGACCTGCTGAGTACTTCCTGTATTTCCTGCTATTTTTTATTACTGTAACTTTATTATCTGGTAGGAGGCAATTATAAAGCAATTTTTTTACAATTCACTATTTACTAGACTTACGCAAAAATTCAACATCACTTATCATTTATGTGAAGATGTCTATTCAATGATCAAAGAACACTGCCTAAAAAAAAATTTGTGGAGATTATTTTAAATCACAAACTGAGCTTTTTCATTGACCATCTGTGACACTTCATACATTCTATTCCAATGTGGATGCCACAGTAACACTCTGAAAAGACTGTGCAGGATCAAAGAATCAAACTTAAGCATTTGTCATGCTTTGCTTACACGTGTGCAGCTCCCTAATTAATCCCATCTTCCCATTCTTCCATTTGAATTTAACTCCTTTACACGTTATAATTGATAGCTACATATTCTAATGCATTACGCATAGCAATAATGAAGATATTTTCCCAACATTTAGCTTTTAGCACCAATCTTAAACTTACGCCTCATTAGCAATTATTCACTGTTCTCAAACCCTTGAAGTGTCTGCAACTTTTTTCTTAAATCATGGCTTTTACCTCTGCTCTGCTGCTCTTAATTAGAAGCTCTGTTATAAATATAGTCTCTCATCTTGGCATCATTCCTCATGATTTTGTGCTGCACCTTGTGCGTTTGTCCTTTCTGTCAGAGGTTCATAAAATCACGCCAAATAGTCCTACAGTGCCCTCAGGTTGGGAGCTTTCGAGAAAAGTGCATGTTTTTGGAACAAGTAGTAAATGACCCTTTCTTTTTATGGGTTGACCAAATTGAACAAAGCTCAGTGTGCCGGTCAAGACAGTCCACAGTTGCTTCTCAACCTCCAACCCCAGGGTAGAGTGCTCCAAGCTCCCTACAATAAAATATTTGCGTAAATGCTACACTACCCTCATTGAACAAATAGTAGACCAATGAATACCATACCCCACGTAAAATGCTTCCCGTTGGCTCCAATCTGTTAAGCCAGGGCTTTAGCAGACCCAGACCTGACAGCAGCATCATAGGGGCCATGCTCCTGCTGCATCCAATCTGCTTGCATTGGAGCTTCCATCTCAACCGGTCATGAGGTTTAAAAAAATACGCTAACAAAAGTATTTATTCCCTGAGGGGCGAGCATCTGATTATTTCCAAATCCAAAGCTGCAGCTACACATAGTGTGACATTTAACCAAGTTTGTTTTTCTTCATTCCCTTGATGATGTTAGCTGGCTTATTCCAATCCATGCTATTGCCTAATTTACCAAGAAAACAAAACTTGCTATGTTGCCTATCCAGACACAAACACCTGACATAATGCTTTCAGAAAACTCTTAATAAGAATATTGGATTTATCAATATACGGCTATATATTCCTGAAAATAATGATAACTAGAATAAAATCGTTGCTTTAAAATTATAAAAATTCACTCCAGATACAATCTTTTGCCAGAGTTCTTCAAGTTGGTCTTTCAAACTGTTGGTCACTTTTTCCTACTGAATGGGAGCATGCGTGTCTTCACCCCGACCTCCTTATCAATCACATCAAGAAGAGTTTGATGAAACAAGATGGCTCATTTTAAAAGTATGCTCAGGTTGGAGCATTTGAACACCTTTGCCTCAACTCACCCAACATAAAGTGAGCTTAAGCAATGTGAAAAGTGATTGCAGCTTGCTGCTTCCAGATTCCTCTCTATATACCTAACTAACAATTTTACACTGTAAGAAAATCCAGTTAATTACTTCTCGTCTGAAAACACAATTTCTACTGCATAGTGGAACTTCTAATATGGTCACCTGCTCTGCCAGAAATGTGCAAATGTCATTATAATTGGAGTAAACATACAAGTTAGGGTTAAGTTATTCATGGATTTAATTGTGAGGGAGGCAGGGAAAAGGAAGACAAAAGCATAATGTATGCCTTGATCGTTTATTCTTCTATCACAGCTGCCATCTGTTTCCCAACTCAACCACTTCCTGTGACAGTAGCCAGTCTGACAAAACAGTAACTAAAAATACACCTGCCACAGAAGTTCTGTGAAAACATGGAACACATACAGGAAAAGCTTCAAATAACATGGGACATTTTGGCATTGTTCTGTGTTGGATTAAAGTTCAATCTTCATTATGTTTGAATGTATAAATCAGGTGCAGCACGCTGACACTAAGTTAAGCTTCCAATTGTGAACACATACTGTATCAGTACCAGCGCTGAAGTACTGGGTTTCAGTGGCCATAATTGCGGGCTTACTGAACAAAGAAGTCCTACTACACCACTTCCTGTTTATTTTCTGCTGCCATGAAGTTCACTCTCACAAAAGCAACCCACTACATATCCTTGCAGGAAGTCG